AACAAAACAAAACAAAACAAATAATTTAAAGGTGAGGGATACAGCTCAGGGAAGAGTCCCTGGGCAAACAAATAAACTCATTGTATATTTCAGCCAACATTAGATGCTTTTGGCTCTCAGCTTAAAGGTGAGAATCTTGAGTCAAGCTCCCAGCCCTTCCTAGTACATAACAACAAAATGGTACAGGATGATCTAAAGCCCTGTAACCAGATCACTGCAAGCTCAAGTGGACCTCAACTCTTTCTGCTGTTTTCCCCAAGGAGACACTGTAAACCCATGGTGAAAGACCAATACTATTTTCCTTTGCTTTATTTGGGATCCAAGAGACAATTTTCTGCTTAACCTAAAAAGTCTGAAGTGTGGGGTTGCATATGTTATTTATTCTCACTCAGTGCAAATTTATAGTTTGACTTGTAGGAAAAGAATACAGAAAAAAAAAAAACCCAGAAATCTTGGCCTAGTTAGCTGAAAACAATTCATTCATAATTTGTTGGTTTCCTTTGTTTAGAAAAAACAAAAATTCACTATGTATCATTTGCTGGGAAGTCTCATAATGAGGCAGCCCAGAAAACTGACAAGAGGTTCTCAATAGTTCACACGTCACCACATTCAGGGGTGCCATCCAAGGACCTCACAAAGCTGAGGTTTCAAGGCTAGGAGGGCTCGGCCCTAGCTGTGTGAAAGGTCAGCTACAGAAGTGGGACACAAGGCGGGCCCTGAAGGCTTCAGCCCATCCACATTTTTAATTAAATTCCCTACTATCGTGAGCAAAAATCTATAGTAAATTTAGTCTTCATAAAATCTGTTATTTCATGGCAACTTCCATTTGCATAATACCTTGGACTTTTCAAAACCTCTTTGCACATTCCATCTCTATAGGTTTACAAATTACTTGAGAAGGTATTATATTCATTTCATAAACAAGAACTAAACAAAATAATTGAGGCCCTTTCAGTTTGTTGTTAGCAAAACCAAAACCCCAGTTTCTCTGACTCAGGTAAAGCTACATTTTTTCCACTATTCCAACTACTCTTTCTCCCCACCAGGCAGACCACCACCACCATGCTCACACCATTCCGGAGACTTTGCCACCCTCTCTGCAATGTGACGCTCGACTTTAAGCCAATGGAAGTCCTTAAAAAAAAAGAAGCTTTGTTTTCCCAAACATTTGAATGAAAAGTATAAAAGAATAGTATGAATCAATAATTATTATTTGAGAAGACATTTCAAACATTGTGCTACATATATTTACAGTAATCATTAATATTTTTATTAAATATTTATTTTCCATAAATATGCATTATTCCCATATGTACTGTATGTAAGTCAGAGGTAAGGGGACTCAACACCCTAAATGCAGCAACACTCTTACGAACTCCTTCCACACAGTTCAGTCAGGAAAGATTCAACGAAACATCTGTAGTCACAGTCCAATTTTTTTACATACGGAAGTTACAAGCCTTGACACAATTAATTTATACCTTCTCATTTTAAAGGACTCTCTTATTTAAATTAGTATGCCATCGGAACATAGCTGTGTCACAGATGCTTGAGCCTCTTGTCTTGTAGGGAAGAAGATCTGAGAAGCGGCAGTGATTAGGGAAATCCTCCAACCCATCTTGTGTTCATCATTAAAATGTAAATTCAAACCAGCTGTAAATGATGTACACTATGTGAGGAATTACTTTCTTGTGGTCGAAGCCCAACACCACTTCTGTGAACGGAGCTTTCTCATCAAGCCACCTGGTAAATTGGAACTGCCTGTGGTTGTAGGTGCAGGTGTGAAAACAGGCATCTCTCCATGCTGCCAAAGAACACATGTGGCTTTTTTCATTCCCCAGGTAATGACTTTCTATCCTTGAGAAGTTTTCATGTTTCTTGGCAGAAATAATTGGCTCATTTTAGGCTAGACTGCTTGTCTCTGTAGTAGTGGAATGAAGTCAAAAGTTTTTGAAACATTTCTTCCTTCGTTGTGTTTTAGACTGCGTATCGGCTTCATTTTAAGTTTCCATGTGGATCCAGCCAACTGGTCAATTTGATCTTCTGTGAAAACAGACTTTAGAGTATGCACGCAGAAACTTTTGAAGAGGGAGACAGCCAAACTTTAAAGTTATGGTTCCTTCAGCTGTTAATTATTTAATCAATCTAATAGTAATTCTCCACCACCATAGTACATTTTAAAATAAAGTTTGCAAGCTGGATGATTCAGCTACATTGAAGCGGTCCCGCTGCTTCCTTTTCTTGCCTTTTTTATTACACTTATCTCCTACTTTTCAAAAGTGAATTTCACTTCCCACCCAGCTCATATCTTACTGCATGATGGAAAAACCTCCAAATTCCTAATCTTGGTACTTAGTTGGATTCTAATGCTTGGGAAATTAAGTGGTCTTTAATATTTTTAATTATCAGTTTTAAAAGATATCCTAATCAATTAGCACAGAATTATTATTAAAATTTATCTTTCAGGAAAGATTAAGACATATGTGGTATTTTGTATATATATATAACTCTGAAGAATTATCAGAGTTGAGTGACATTGCTATAACAAAATTCCTTCATTCCTTCTCTACTTATTCATGAGTAAAGTTAATTAGCATTTAAATCTATAAACATAGAAAGTAGGAACAAATCAATGCTGAACTTGCATTATTAACATTAGTAGACATGAAGGCAGGAATTAACCTATGAATCTGAAAATTAACATTCATTTCATTGAAATAGTTTTCCAAGAAATTTTTACTTGGGTTTAGCAATTGCATTAGCTTTGTATCACTAGAATAAAATATGTCATAAATAAGTTTAAGGATGAGTTTATTAATATCAAGTTACTTCAGCTCATTGTTTCTGAGGTTCTGGTCCATGGTGCTCTATGACTTTGGTCCCGAGGCAAAGCAGAGACTCATGGTGATGGCATGTGAGAAAGGAAGCTACTCATATCATGGCACCCAGGAAGCAGTGGGGTGGGCAGAGGGACAGGAAGACAGAGACAGAGAGGGAGAAGGAGAGGGAGAGGGAGCAGGAGAGAGGGAGGAGGAACATCCTTCAAAAGTGTCTTGTTTATGTTTCTTTCATTGCTGAGACAGAATACCTGATATCCAGAATTAAAGAAGGAAGGGATTATTTCGCCCACAGTTTGTGGAGGCTTCAGCCCATACTCAGCTGGATCCAAGGCAGAGCGGCATGTGGCAGAGGGCAGCTGTTCACAGCCATGGAAAACAGCAAAAGCAGCATGAGTAGAAGGTGAAGGAGCAGCAACCGCAAGCCTCTTTCCTTCCCTTACACTGTATGCAGGCTACTT